TCTGTGTCTTGGAAGTTTTCCAGAAGATGCATGAAATAAAAATAAATCCAAATGTTGTCATCTTTTCAACAATTCTGAATGCTTGCAGGTACATTGGTTTAACCAATCCTCTTGTGCTATATTTTCTGTTACATCAACTTCTTCAACCTGATGTGTCTATTTCCTTCAAGTTAACACATAATTAAATGGAACTTCTTCATAGGCTGATATAATGTAGTACTTTCAGATATAGAACAAGTAAATAACCTCTATAATGGTAAAATTTTGGCATCAATCAATTGTACACTTCTTTTATAATCTCGCTCATCGATAATGTCATTTTCATGGCGTTCTCTGTGGTTGCAACCATTGTAGTTCTTTGATAATCAGGTTTATGGAGTAACACATGGAATTCTCATAGGTCGTAATGAGAATGTTTGGTTGCAAGCTCTGTCCATTTTTTATGAGGTGAAACAAATGGACACGTCCACTGCTTTTGCTTTTTATAATGCCCTGACTCACATACTGTAGTATTTTGGTCAGGTAATTTAATTTAACTAAAAGATTATCTAGCTTGACTGAAGTTAATAATTTCTCAATTAAATAACTATAATTTATGGAAAGCACAGTACCAGTTCTTTATTTTGAGCCAAATCATTTTTGTAGAATCTATACTGTTGCATTTTTAGTCAGTGGTTTATGTGTAATTCAATTCTGTTTTTATTGTTTCTTTCCATTACTTATTTATATGTCTTACAATGAGACCGATAACCTCTAAGGAGTAAAGAAACATTGATGCTTACATTTGGCGCCTAACCTGTCTAGAATATTGATACAATTTAGCCTAAATCATGTGGTTTATTTCCTTCAGGGTTATAGTAAGCAAGTATTTTTTACTAATCTAATTATACTTTGATTTCTTCTTTCATTGGTTTGATTAAGATGATATTTTATTTGCATAATACAATTTCCCAACTCCAGTTGCTCTGCTAACTCCACAATGTTACAATGCATGTGAGTTTTTGAACTTTATACATTACTCATTCTTATAGTCTTGTTATGGACTTATGGAGAATTCTTATACATAGGAGAGTTGTATTTCTTTGTTGAAATTCGGGCACATGTTAAGAGGGATGAAGTATATGCTCAACCCGTGACTCCGATATTCTCGAATTAGACTCAGATTGTGTGATGATTTTTGCACCTTCTTCTAATTATCATTGCACATTGGTTAGAACTAATGTTTCATTGACATTTGGTGCAGCAAGAACAAAAAAAATACACATCTTCCAGTGGAGTTGGGAACTCCTATGAGAGAATGGATTACTTTTGCAAGATACTAACCGCAAGTGATACATGCACACATGAAGACTTCTCTATTCTTGGTAATGGTAGTCCCATAATATCATAATTTCACCTCATGCAATAATGATTCTTATCTAATCTTTCCATTTCATGTCTCAGGATTTCTCACAGACACACCTGCACACGAACTCATTGCGAGGGATCTTCATGACGATGAATTGAAGTTTATGCATATTTTCCAAGGTTAGTTCTAAAAAGTTTTATCATGTAGTCTTACATTTGTGCAACCAATTCGCTCTATTTTTTTTGAACGCCATGAGTTACCAAAGCTTCTAAGGTAGTCTTTTATCAGGAAAATTCACTTTCGTGTTGTCTTTAATATGCTTTTATTGATTGGATAGATGATTTTATGATTATCCAATATCTTGACAAATTAGGACAAACACAAGAAGATGGTGGGTAATGGTGCACTTAAGCATACTATTGAAAATGTGATAGCGTTAGACGAACAAATAGATGCAACAGAGTATGATTGTAATGATGAAGAATTATTCTTTCCATACTTCTCCGGATGTATATTTACTCTTTGTTTTATTTTTTACATAACAATTTCGAAAGATAAATTTTTTATGGATCTCGTTTAAGTTTTGTTTTTAATTTCTTGGCACTCTTTGAATGTTTTATAACTGTATTTTACGAGTAAAATCATATGTAAATTTATTTTGTTCAATTAAGCTCATTTCGCTAACCTTGCTTATATTTCCCTTTAATCCTTCAATATTCAACGCTAATATTACTTTCAACATAACAAAGTTCGTGCATTGCACGGCCATAACTAGTATCTTTATAAACACCATCACATCCTATTCCATTTTGCGTTGTGTGGGTGGTTTTATTCCCTCTTCACTTCCATCCGTTATCCACGTGAACAAACATTTCCACCATACGACACGATAAATCTCAAATGATTACTCATACCTGAAAATTTGAAATTGCAATTGTTAGAAATTCTACATAATCAATATGTCGGCATTTAATAACATGAAAGTGACACATTCGAATAGTAAATCCATACAATAGCAAAAGGTCAAACCGACAGTTGAAATATATATCCCGATATTTCCCAATACTTGAATTCGACAATTGAAATGTTTATCTCGAGAGTTTTGAAATATCTAACCCTACGGTTTCCAAACGTCGAATTCAACAGTTGAACTGTCGGAATCGACGGGAATCATATATGTGGGTGATTGGAACAAATTTTTCATCATATTAAGTGTGGTCATCAATATTACACTAACAAATGATAAATTCTTATTCCCAAATAATTTGCATAGTAAATCATTAAATAGGCAATTTTTCAAAATATTTACTGGGTTTGATTAAAAAAAATTATTCAAAACATTAATGCTGAAATCAATTCTTAACTACAATATGACAACATCTTCCTAATAAATAACTCAATGTTTCAATAAATATGGAATCATTCACAACATTTTATAGAAGATATTGGTAACTTTATTTTAAAAGATCTGAAAAATCAAACAAATCAATGAATAA